CGTTAAATGAGAACCAACAAATTCACTTTATTACCAAGAATGTGCTTTAATGATTGTTTATTTTTAAATTAAAATATAACCAATTTAAACACACACACTATAATGCTTAACCAATATCTTATCAAAAAATCTATAGATTCCCTTTCATATAAAAATGTAAATTAAGTTTTTGTACCCTGAACAGTGTGTACAAAGTTTGTAACACCAAGAAGGAAATGTTGGGACCCTATTAAATAAATATACGTACATAGATATATATGAATGGTCAGCTTAACGAGTGACCTTGCTATGTTCGTCTGTCTCTCTGTTCGTCTGTATTTCAAAATTTTGTAAGGAAAATTTTTTCATTTGTGAAGGGTATTATTGATTCGGTGCAATTAAAGATGACTTTTTTTTCCTGTTAAGCGTTATTATCGCTATAAAAAAGACGGTCGATTTATAACCTTGCCAGTCAAGCCATTATCTCAGTTTAGTTTTCGCTGTTGGCTTGAATTGGTCAAAATGAGTTTCGTTGGCAAAGTTGTGATTGTGACCGGTGCTAGTACAGGAATTGGTGCTACAACAGCGGAGGCTTTTGCCAAACTGGGCGCCAAAGTCGTTCTCGTCGGACGCAATGAAGCAAAGTTACGCTCTTCTGCAGATGCCTGCAAATTAGCTAACAAGGAGTCCGAACAATTGATTATCACTGCTGATGTAACCACGAACGCGGAATATATTATAAACTCAACAATACAGAAATTCGGACAACTGGATGTATTAGTCAATAATGCTGGCATTTTCGATGTAGGCAACATCCTGAATATTGACGTAGATCAATTTGATAGAATATTGAATACGAATTTACGTTCGGTCTTCCTTTTAACTAAATATGCCGCACCACATCTCGTGAAAACCCAAGGAAATATTGTGAATGTGTCCAGTGTCGCAGGACTGCGCTCGTTTGCCGATGTGTCTAGCTACTGCACTTCCAAAGCAGCACTTGATCAATTCACCAGATGTATCGCTCTGGATTTGGCACCGTTGAATGTGCGTGTCAACGCTGTCAATCCCGGTGTCATCGCAACAGACATTGAAATACGTAACGGCGTGACGGTGGAGCAATACGCAGACTACTTAGAAAAATGCAAGAAGAGTCATCCGTTAGGACGTGTGGGTACAAAAAAGGAAGTGGCCGATACTATCGTTTTCTTAGCTAGTGACAGTTCAAGCTTTATAACGGGTGCAACTCTACCTGTCGATGGAGGCAAACATGCGCTTTGTCCACGTTAATGGTATATTTGATAAATAAGTATGGAAGAGCGGTTTAAGTGCATTTCTTCAGTCATATAATAAATATAATATGTATATACATAGATAATAAACGTCTCTTCTATGGCATATTTCAATAATAAAATATAAATACATTTGAGTCTTCAACTTCTTCTCAAGTATATTCTCTCTAGCAGATAGTAGGTGCAATAGGAAACTAGAACGCTGCTACTTACAAGCAGCCAACTCAGTTCACTTAGTAGACTGAGGTCGAATAGATCGTCATGAGCTTAGCTAGCAAAGTTGTAAGTGTAACCTGAGCAAGTTCGGGCATCGGCGCTGAGATTGTGGAGGCTTTTGCCAAATAGGGTTCCAAATTGCAAGTAAATCAGTATATTGCTCCTCCAAAGCGACACTGGATCAATTCACCAGATGTATTGCCTTGGATTTGGCACCGATAATGTACGTGTCAACGCCATCAATCCCGGTGTAGTCGTTACAGATATTCATAAGCGTTTAGGCGTGTCGGAGGAGCAATATGGAGAATTGTAAAACTACACATCCAATCGGTTACGTCGGCGATACATAAGAAGTGGCCGATGTCATTATTTTCTTGTCTAGTGACAGTTCGAGCTTTATAACGGGCACAAATATGTCGGTCGATGGTGGTAGACGATTACTGTGTTCGCGTTGATTTACATTCTAATTGTTATTTTTATAAAAAAAAAAAAATAATAAACAATTAATGAAAGCGAAAATACACTTTTACTGGCTATATCATATATCACACTCTGTAATTTCACTACTTACGCTCCAGTCGTTCTTCATTTTCTCTGTTTGACGCCAATTGGATACTTCAAGTGTAGCCAGGTCGTTCTCCACTTGGTCTTTCCAATAGAGTAGAGGTCTTTATCTTCCTCTCTTTCCTCCCAAGGGCTACTTACTGGATCGAAAACTCTCAAAGCTAGAGTGTATTCGTCCATTCGGACGACATGACCTGGCCAGCATAGTGGCTGACTCTTCATTTGCTGAATTTTGTCAATGCCGTCGTATATCTCGAACGGTTCATCGTTGCCAATACGCAAAGCACCATACATCTTCCACAAAAAATTACCGTCTAATCGACAAGTACTCACCGTTTTATTTTACAATATTCGTGAAGTCAAGCTGCCTTAGTGAAAGTGCCAATCTTGTTATAAGAAAGTGCATTGAGTTTTGGGAAATAACCAGAATTCCTACGAAGAAATTTCCTAACTGTGTGAAGAAACTTGTTGATGTATATCATGTGGAGGTTCAAGAACCGTGAAAATAATTTTGTAACAGAACTTGATAACTTATTTGATATTGCACATGATGGCTTTTGTACAGAATGAAGATAGAGGAAGACAAAGAATTTTTAAGGAAACAGAGAGAACCAGTTCGACCAGGATGCTTAGGTGGAATTGACCAAAAATTGACGGAGCAGGAGAGGAAAGAAAGGTAAAACAAAGAGAGTTATCAGCTGTTGCATCTGCTTCTTCGATAGATAGCATGGAATGTCTTGAGAATTCGGATGAGGAACATATTTCGGACTCTGAATTTAGTGCTCAGACTCCTTGCCTTGAAAAAAAGTTCTAAAAGGGGCACGAAATGTTTCATAACTCCTAAACTGGTAGCAGCTTTAGATCGATGCCAATTAAGCTTAAGATGCTCAGTTTACATTCTCCACGCGGTTGTAGAAGCGCTTGGTCTGAACAGCGATGATCGTACACAGGCGAGAAAATCCAGGGCAGAAGCAATAAAAATTTGACTTCCAGCATAATTTGCCTGACGTAGTCACAGTCCACTGGGATGGAAAACTATTACCGAAGTACAAAAAGAAGAACGCTTGCCAATTGTTGCTTCATTTAACGACAGAGAAGAGCTTCATGCAGTACCAAAAGAAGAAGCAGAATTCTTCTGGAAAACATCAAGCTAAAGCCATTTTAACTGCACCCTTTGACTGAGACCTCCATAATAAAGTTAAGATAATGTGCTGCGTAACAACAGCTTCAAATACTGACCATTTCAGTGGAGCTTGTGTTTTTTTTTTTTGTAGCAGACTTTAGAAAACGAATTGCTGATTTTTGCTTGGCGTCATCATATTTATGAGTTGTATAATGCTTAACCAATATCTTATCAAAAAAAAACTATAGATTTCGTATCATATGTATAAAAATCCAAATAAGTTTTTATACCCTGAACAGTGTGTATAAAGCTTACAAGGATGTTTGTAATATCCCGAAAGAAACGTCGGAGACTCTATTAAATATATATGTACATATGTATGTATACTTTAATGGTCAACTTGACGAGATGAGTAACTTAGTGATGTCCGTCTGTCCGTATTTTTTGAGACATCTCTCTGATATTTTGCGCACGTTCTTTACATCCCAAGCAGATGTTGATTTGTCGGAAACGCCGATATCTGCCCACCAAAATCTATGGTTGATGTCGAAAACTTTATTTGACAAGATATATTCCCGAAATTTGGTATCGATTATTGTCCAAGACAACAGTACAATCTCCGAAGAAAATGTTCAGATCGGACCATTATAGTACATAAATGTCACACAAACTTAAAATCTTGGAATGGAATTTTTTTTTTTATTTGTGAAGGGTATTATTGATTCGGCGCAATTGAATTTGACGTTTTTTTCCTGTTAGATATTATTATCGCTACTTACACAATTGTTTATTAAAAAATACGGTCTATTTATAATCTTACCGGTCAAGCCATTATCTCAGTTTAGTTTTCACTGTTGGCTTGAATTGGTCAAAATGAGTTTWGTTGGCAAAGTTGTGATTGTGACCGGTGCTAGTACAGGAATTGGTGCTACAACAGCGGAGGCTTTTGCCAAACTGGGCGCCAAAGTCGTTCTCGTCGGACGCAATGAAGCAAAGTTACGCTCTTCTGCAGATGCCTGCAAATTAGCTAACAAGGAGTCCGAACAATTGATTATCACTGCTGATGTAACCACGAACGCGGAATATATTATAAACTCAACAATACAGAAATTCGGACAACTGGATGTATTAGTCAATAATGCTGGCATTTTCGATGTAGGCAACATCCTGAATATTGACGTAGACCAATTTGATAGAATATTGAATACGAATTTACGTTCGGTCTTCCTTTTGACTAAATATGCCGCACCACATCTCGTGAAAACCCAAGGAAATATTGTGAATGTGTCCAGTGTCGCAGGACTGCGCTCGTTTGCCGATGTGTCTAGCTACTGCACTTCCAAAGCAGCACTTGATCAATTCACCAGATGTATCGCTCTGGATTTGGCACCGTTGAATGTGCGTGTAAACGCTGTCAATCCCGGTGTCATCGCAACCGACATTCAAATACGTAACGGTATGACGGTGGAGCAATACGCAGACTATTTGGAAAAATGCAAGGCGGGTCATGCGCTAGGACGTGTGGGTACAACAAAGGAAGTGGCCGATGCTATCGTTTTCTTAGCTAGTGACAGTTCGAGCTTTATAACGGGAGCAACGCTACCTGTCGATGGAGGCAAACATGCGCTTTGTCCACGTTAATGGTATATTTGATAAATAAGTATGGAAGAGCGGTTTAAGTGCATTTCTTCAGTCATATAATAAAGATAATGAGTATGTAGATAATAAACGTCTCTTCTAAGGCATATTTCAGTAATTAAATATAAATACATTTGAGTCTTCAACTTCTTCTCAAGTATATTCTCTCTAGCAGATAGTAGGTGCAATAGCAAACTAGAATGCTGCTACTTACAAGTAACCAACTCAGTTCATTTAGTAGACTGAGGTCGAATAGATCGTCATGAACTTAGCTGGCAAAGTTGTAATTGTAACCGGAGCAAGTTCGGGCATCGGCGCTGAGACTGCGAAGGCTTTTGCCAAAAAGGGTTCCAAAGTGGTGCTCGTAGGACGAAATGAAGCGAATTTGAAGGCTACTGAAGCAGCCTGTAAAGCAGCCAACAGCAAAATCGAGGTGTTCTCCATCATTGCTGACGTCACAGTTGATGCCGAGCGCATTATAAACTCGACAATTGCAAAATTCGGTCAGTTGGATGTATTGGTGAATAATGCCGGGGTGGGTGAAAGGGCTTCAATCTTAGATATCGAAGTCGATCAATTAGATCGCCTTTTAAATATAAATTTGCGTTCGGTCTTCCTGCTGACTAAGTACGCCGCACCACATCTCGTGAAGACCCAAGGTAATATCGTGAATGTCTCTAGCGTCGCAGGAATGCGTGTGTTTGCAGGTAGCTCGGTCTACTGCACTTCCAAAGCAGCAGTTGATCAATTCACCAGATGTATCGCCTTGGATTTGGCACCGATGAATGTGCGTGTCAACGCTGTCAATCCCGGCGTAATTATTACAGATATTCATAGGCGTTCAGGCTTGTCGGAAGCGGAATATGCTAAATTTTTAGAGCACTCGAAGTCTACACATGCGCTGGGTCGCGTCGGTTATGCAAAGGAGGTTGCTGATGCCATTACTTTCCTTGCTAGTGATAGTTCGAGCTTTATAACGGGCGCAACTTTGCCGATCGATGGTGGCAAACACGCCATGTGTCCAAGTTAATTGAAATTAAATGTTATTTATGACAAATAATAATAAATGTGAACATGTTGTATTTCTTTTGAATTATTTTTAATCCTGTTTATATTCGTCAGCTGTTGGAATAAACGTGTTGACATTTTTATACACTTGCAACACGTTGACTATAATATAATGGAATAATATGCAAAGAATTGTTATTTCCGATTTTTTTTTTTTTTTTTTTTTGTGGTGTTTTAAGAAAAATTGAAGGGTAATGAAAAATTTTTGATTTTCATTAAATGGAGCCGACTACATGACGACACCAATACACTTAACGCATTTGACGCAATTTTTTGATCCTGTCCTCCACACTTAAAGGAACTAGACGGGTGCTATAGTTTTGCCCAGTACTGTATGTATGTACTAACAGATCCGGGCACGCATTGTTGTTGCTAACTTTTTGAAGGGTGACGTAATACACCACAGAAAAATTTATTGTTGCTGTATAAATCTTGCAATGCTTTAAAAGGAATTTTTGTGTAATATTTCTTTACCCTGAAAAATGTTTATCAAATGTTTAACACCTCGAATGAAACTTCAGAGCTCTTATAAAAAATATATGTATGTATATGGTTATATGATCAGCATAATTAGCTGGGCCATCTGTCGGGCTGTCTGTATGTATATACGTGGAGTATAAACCCCCTCAGTTTTTGAGATATTGATTTTTTTTGTACGCGTCCTTTTCGCATGGGGAAACTTTTTTATACAACAAGATATCTTAACGAAATTTAGCATGAATTGTTATCCAAGGCAACGGTACAATTTCCGATAAAAATTTGTTTACAAACTGGCATATCAAAATTAATTTCTTATATTGAAACTTCTGTTGTGAAGGGCATTAAAGCCTCAGTGCAACCGCACGTAATATTTATACCCTGAACAGGGTATATTAATTTTGTCACGAAGTTTGTAACACCCAGAAGAAAGCGTCGGAGACCCTATAAAGTATATATATAAATGATCAGTATGTCGAGCTGATTCGATTTAGCCATGTCCGTCTGTCTGTATATATAGGAACTAGTCCCTCAGTTTTTAAGATATCGTTTTGAAATTTTGCAAACACCATTTTCTTTTCAAGAAGCTACTCATTTGTCGGAACTGCCGATATCGGACCACTACAACATATAGCTGTCAGATAAACTGAACGATCGGAATCAAGTTCTTGTATGGAAAACTTTCACATTTGACAAGATATATTCACGAAATTTGGTATAGATAATTTTATAAGGCAACAATGTAATCTCCGAAGAAATTGTTCAGATCGGCTCACTATAGCACATAGCTTCCATACAAACTGAACATATAGTTACGTACATAAATGCAACTGTGAAGGGTATTTAGCTTCGGTGCAACCGAAGTTAACGTTTTTTCTTGTTTTTCTTGCTTTTATGCGGACAACCTAAGTGGCACGCAGTTCTTAAAAACATAACAAAAAGTAAAATCATTTTAGTTAGAAAGTACCGCAAGATACTCGAGTTCATATCGACAGCTAAAATACAAAACAACATATACATAAAACATCAGAATTTGATTTTTTTGTTTGATTATGATTAATTACTCTCTCATTATCTTATCCAATAATATTTGTATCTACATATATATATATTTATATGACAATGATTTTGAGTTATTGGCGAAGGTGACATAGGAAACTAAAATGCTCCTACTTATAAATCAATAGACTCAGCTTTTTCGCACAATTACTTCAAGAGTTTAGCTGGTAAAGTAGTTATTGTAACCGGAGCAAGTTCGGGCATCGCTGCCGCCGTAGCTAAGGCCTTTGCCCAGCAGGGTTCAAAAGTAGTGCTCGTAGGACAAAATGAAGCAAATCTGAAGGCTACCGAAGCGACCTGTAAGGCTGCCAATAGCAAAGCCGAGCTGTTCTCCATTATTGCTGATGTCACAGTGGATGCGGAGCGCATTGCAAACTCAGCAATCGAAAAATTCGAACAGTGTTGGTGAATAATGCCGATGTAGATGCAAACGGTTCAATACTGGAAACTGTTGTCGAACAATTTGATAGCACTTTCGCTACCAATTCGCGAGCGGCCTTCCTTTTAACGAAATATGCCGCAACACATCTCGTGAAGACCCGAGGAAATATCGTGAATCTTTCCAGCGTAGCAGGAATGCGTTGACTCTAAAGCGGCGCTGTATCAAGTCACCAGATGTATTGCCTTCCATTTGGCACCGATGAATGTACGCGTCAACGCTGTGAATCCCGGTGTAATCGTTACAGATATTCATAAGCGTTTAGGCGTGTCGGAGGAGTAATATGCTTAATTTTTGGAGCATTGTAAGACAACACATCCAATCAGTCGCGTCGGCGATACAAAAGAAGTGACCGATGTCATTATTTTCTTAGCCAGTGACAGTTCGAGTTTCATAACGGGCGCAAATATGTCGGTCGATGGTGGCAGGCAAAATCCACTTTTACTGATTATTTCATATATGTATGTCTCTCACTCTCTGAAATTTCACTGCTAACTTCTAAATATAAATATTATTTGATAAAACCGCTTAGAAAAACGTCCATGCTTTTTACTCATGCCATTTTGAAAGAACTGCCGAACGGCAGTTGGCCACTTGACAGGTCACAACAACTGTGAGCCGGATGGACATAAGTAATGACGATAGCAGAAAGTGCAACGAAGTTGCCATGAGAAATACGCTGGAATACCTCCTATGCCTATCTCCAGCACTAAGTAGAACTCCACTTAAGTGTCTATGAGCTTCGGCGTTCAAGGAACCAGACGAAGACATATCAAGTCGATCTTATAGTTCGCAAAAAGCGTTGACGTCCTATATGCCGAATACTTAACCTCAAACTAAATTGAACTCCCATATGGCATAACTAAGGACTAGTAGGTATATATGGCGTGACAGCCGACCAGTATAGTGATTCACTTTCATCAAAAATACAAGCCTTCAAAGACGGTCTGCAAGTAATGAATACTATATATTATATTAAAAAATATATTAAGTCGTCAGGCAAGAATTAGAGAGATGGCAAAAGAGGTTGACATCTCTCGCGACATCGGAATGGGTTCTCATTGCTTTTTCGATAGTCGTTGTTAGAGACACCTATTTACTTCGGAGAGACAAATGGTCAATAAGGAGTTGTGGAAGAACAATGCATAGATTTTGCACGATGATAATGCGCCTTTGCATCGAGCTACAATTGTGACCAAATTTAAAGTCAAAAACACAGTCAATACCATCGATTAACCACCGTGTTTACTACATTTCACTCCATGTAATTTTTTCTTGTTCCCCAAACTGAAATTGCTAGACCGTGGAACCCTTTTTCAATCGATCGAAGAGATAAAACAAAATTCTCTGAAGGAGCTGAAGACCATCCCAAAAAGTGCTTGTGATAAATATTTCGCGAACTGGAAAAATCGTTGCATAAGTCTATTATATCAGGCTGTGATTACTTTGAAGGCGACAAAATAAATTTTGTTGAATAATTAAATAAAGGAACAGGTAGTAGCTGCCGAAATGCGGCTGCATATCCACAGGATTCCAGCCCACAAGGGCGTTTTGGGAAATGAAATAGCTGACATACAAACGAATGAATGTTTGTTTGTTGGTAACGCTTAGAGAACGGCTACAGCAATCTTGACGAAATTTTCAGAGGTGGTTCACTGTGGATCGTGGAAAGTTTAGATTTTTCAATAACATTTTGGTTTGTTTTGTTTTCCAATATTTTGATTTGTAAATTATTTGAATCGGTAAATTTCGGTCGCTTGCTTTTTATTACGGCTATTCAAAGGAAAATTGTTCAGTGAACACTTTATGTGTGTTTCACACAAAGTGATCAATTGCGAAGAGGTCGCCCTAATATCGGTCGGCGTTCTTTTTGCCACCAACGTATGGCAGCCCAAGGCAAGGCAAGGCAAGAAGTGCTCCCATAATGCAGTGACATACCTGCGGAATAATGGATCGCGGTCAATCAGCAAACGATCGTCATGATGTCACAGCATGACTATTCAAACAACAGTTACGATGTTCAATGGACTTTATGTTGAAGCAACGTATGTATATGTGGTATTGTTATATGCTAGATGTACTCTGTTGAGTGGCAAAAAAGAGGTTTGCCGCACGCACACATTCTTCTTTGGATGGTGGATGGTGGATGGTGGTTACAGCAGATCAAATTGATGAAATCATTTCTGCTGAAATTCCTGGTGCAGAGAACGATCCAGAATTATTCGAAGTGATAAAAACCAATATGGTTCATGGGCCTTGCAGACGCCCACTTCCGTTTGTATGTCTGACAATAAATGCGTCAAACACTATCCACGAGTTTTACTTTCGGAAACACAAACTAGAAATGATGGATATGCTCTCTATCGGCGTCGCTCACCAGACAACAATGGCAGAACATTCAGCATTCAATTTAGAATTGTGAATATCGAAGTTGACAACACACGGATCATACTATAGTATATTCACCAAAGTTGTTGACTTAAACTGAAAGACTCAAAATCAAATTCCGAGAGACTTGCGCTCACACAAATTGATCGATCGTCTTGACAATGAAGACGTCGCCGTGAATTGTCCAGTGGAATTTCTTAATTCTTTGGACAGGCTTGGTATGCCACCCCATCATTTGCGTCTCATTGTCGTTATTATGTTCCGCAATCGAATACAAGGCTCAGAATGCCTGATTCTAAGAATTCCTTTGAGTTCTATCGATTTGTCATTTCAGTTCAAACTTTTTCCGTTTCCAGTGAAAATTGCATTTGAGATGACAGTCAACAGGACTCAAGAATAGTCGCTAGAAGTGTGTGGCATAAATCTGGAAGTGACATGTTTTTCACACAGTCAGATATACGTGGCGTGCTCACGAGTTGGAAAACCATCTCTTCTTCAAAAACCAAAAAATGTTGTTTATCAGGCTACATTACATTGAAAAAAAAAAACATGAAATGATAAATTTAACTTTCTTTTCATTTCAAAACACATAATCTCACGCCGGACAACGGCTGCGGGGTTAGCTAGTACAAATATATAAGT